AAATTATCTGTCTGTAATCTAATGACATCTTTATACTGTCCCTGATATCATTTGTAAGTGTTGTACAACTAGAACACTACAACTGACAGCTGCTAAAGAACTCAAGACCTATCTCTCTAATCATGACCTAAATAGGAACATATCAAATACCCATTCAAATGTGATTAAGACATTCCTAAATCATGACAGATAGTAGAAAGGAAAGAAAGAAATCTGAGTGCACAGTGATGAAACCTGACAACAGCAGATAGTGTCTGCATGGTAAAGGAACCATTGCAATGACTCTATTTTGCATTTTAATTCTTATATGCTACATGAAATACAAGCAAAGTGAATAAAGAAAGTTATTTATGGTTACTTTTGATCTTCATTGTGCCTGTTTTTCTATTTGTGTACACCTTGTGTGTATGTGCAAAATAGTTTTTGAGCCAAGCATCCTAGGAAAATTCCAGTGATAAGCCCTGACAAATGTAACTGGCTCTGTTGAGTCAGCTCCTTTGCCTTAGATTTGCTGTTTCAGCCTTCCAGTTGTTTACAGAGGTCACTCCAAAACAATCTCATTTTGCTTTTTAAAAATTATCTAGACAGAAAAAGCTTGGAGTGATGTCACATCTGCATGGAAGCAAAACATCAGCAATCATATCAACAAGAATATATGAGCAGAGGATTAATATTTATGCCTGAGTTTACTGTGTGTGGAAATGAGATACTGCATTCAAATAGGGCACTCCTCAGGTGAGATTCTGTTCTCAGAGATTCAGCTACAAATTAGGATGGCTGACTTTAATTAAGATACATTTGCATAAATGAAATCAAACTAGAATCAATATATTAACTCCTATCTAATGATTTCCAGGACACAAAAAAGGATCAGACAGTAAAAGACTTGCCCAATTCTTCAGAGATTCCCTTTTCTAATAAAGATTCCTTTGGTGTTTTCTTTAACAGCGAAAGTCTGAAAATAGAATTAAATGTCTGGATCTTTTAGTCTAGCCTCATTTGAAGATGCCTACGATCCTCATCACACAGACAAAGATTCTTGTGCATCTTTGAAGCAGTAATCATGGTTCAGTGCAGTACCAGTTCACACTCAGGACAGAATTCAGAAATGGGCACAGCTTGGCTGCAGAAATGTAACAGTGGTAATGGCAAGTAGGGTGAAAATGAGTCCACACCACTATTACGCTATAGCTATCACTGATGTTCTAAGAATACAATTACACAAAGTATTGTCTCAAAGACAGTTTTGAATATATTTTCTAAATATCATATTAAGTTTCAGCTTCATCTCCGTATGGAGAACAAGAAAGGAGAAGTTTTCCCCAAGTCAAAAAAAAGGAGTAACTGTTTTCTGGCTTCTGTTCAATAATCTAATAGCGACTATGCAATAGAGATTAATACTTCTATTTCTGTGGCATGATAACAGCCTTAGGATAGCACATGGCCTGGCCAACACACACGGCTCTACAGATGTCCCTTGAGATGTACCAGCTCAAGGCAGCCAAGGGCTGAGCCCCAGCACTTGGATCATTTGTTATTTTCACATTGAGGTCATGAGGGAAACATAGCTTTCATTGGCATCTCTGGGTAAAAACATATTGCAGACCCAAGTCTAAGCAATCCTATGGGTCCTCTATGCAGGTTTATGAGCTGAGAAAAAATAAAACCACACTGCCTGCCAGTCTTCTTGAGCCACAGCTGTTTGATCAGATCTTGTAAGCCCTTTCTAAACAGCTCAGCAGGAGAAAAATGTCAGACATATAGCTCCCAGGAGGCTTCATAGGAGCATATCGACCAACCAGACAGGAAATGTATCCTTCACTCTACATCCTCCCTGTCCTCCACCCTGCCACAGGATTTCTGTAGCGCTGTAACAAGGACAAATGAATAGAACTAACACAATAGTACAGAGTCACAGTCATACTAAGAGAAACCTTCATACCAATTTCTGTCCTCAGCCATTAAGGTGCCTGCATAAGCAAATGTCTTGTGATTAAATTAAATACACCACAGGTCACAGGGGAGCCCTCTGGTCATCTGCACAGGCATTATTTTGCATAGCAGTGTCTCAAATGGCAAAGGAGAAAGCATGTCATAGAGGTTTTTATTTAGCCCAAATGCTGTTAAATAATTCAGGTCATTATTAAAATATGAAACAAGATTCAAATAGAAAAACTATTTAAATTTTTAAACAGGGAGCATTTTAAACTCTTTATTTGGATGGAATATATCATTTCAGCACGGCTTTTAGCAATACAAAGGTCAGGATTCCAATCTGGGTGGAATGTTAACCTAAAGTACACACATTCAATTCAAAAATACCAAAAATACCAGTGAAAAACTTTAAATACTTTGTTTTGGTTTCATTAAATAATTAACACATTGCACAAGACACACAGTAAAATTCTCTTAAGGCACTAGTGAAGCTAAGGATGAACTCAAATTGCTTGAAGTGACAATTAAATTTAAGCATCTAGTCTATGCTGATTTTTCTCTATCTTCATAGTCTGCAGAGAGGAACAGGTGCTTCCATATGGTGATTCATTCTTCCTGCCTTAAGGGATTATGTACCCTCTGCAGTCTCCTATTCAATTTTGATATACAAAGACCCCAGTCACTTTTTGTAGCCTAGCCTACTTTTTAGATTATTCATTTGAATTTCAATTACATTTATTTAAATTCAATTTTTTTTTCCGCATTATTAGCAGATGCAAATCCCACTGTATTACAAGAAATGCCACAATAAACTCAGCAACTTGATTTAGTGTACAATGACTGGGTTAGTTAGAAGATATCTAGAACTTTAGTTGTCACTAAAGCTAGAATTGAGTAACTGATTTTTTCAAACAAATGTCAAAAGCAAAAGGAAATAAGATAAATTCAAACTCCAGATGTATTTAAAATCAATCTAACCCAATACCTTGAATTATGTAACATATTTCAAAGAAAAGTTTCAGATTTGAAATAAATATTTCATTTAATGACGGATGAAATGATTTGTAGAAGGATTTGGGAAGAGGTGGGGGTTTGTTACAGACTCCCTAGACAAAAGTAGCACTCAAATCGTTCTGCAAACTAGCAGAAGCTCACATTTTTGTGTCATTTCAAACATCCACACATCCTGAAGATCAGCATGACACTGTAGAAGCAATTCATAAAGCTGCTAGACTAACACTGATGACAGTATCTTAATGCAAACCTGGTAGAACAGCACTGGTTAATGGCAAAATGATGCTGTGTCTATGAAAACCCACAGAGAATCACTTGTGCTGATTTCAATGCAAGTACTCAACAAGAGGAATAATCCCATTTGGGGAAAGATTCTTAAAATAAACAGGAAAATACATCAGGAAAACTGGAATATGGATCCCTTCTGCCATACTGAAGTCCAGTCCCAAGGTACAGTAAGTGATAGATCTATACCATTAATTTTAGTTCAACATCTGCTCAAATCAAAATTACTTACATGAGATTGAGAAAATAATTCCTTTTTAAAGTGATTCTTAGCAGCATGATGTTGAATCAATTTGTATAAATAATGTAAAAGTAGTTTAATGCCAGACTGTATATTAATTTCTCTACAAAATTTTAAACCTGTAGAGTTGCTCCTTCCTATTTAGGTCCATCTCTTTTCTCCTTCTCTCTAATGGTAGAGTGACCCACATATGACCCACATGAATGGAACTGGAAGGGGACTTGACAGGAGATAGAATAACCTAACCCAATGCATTAAGCTCTAAATATTTTTTAAAAAATTTAAATGCTGAAAAAGCAGTAGAATCTTACCTCCAATCTCTTTACTTAAAACTCTCACAACACAACTTTCATGTTAAAATAAAAAAGAAAAAGAGCTTTGAACAGAAGTGATATTTTTGTAGATGACTGGTGTTCTTTAATACAGACTCATAAAATAAAAGTTTTTGTAAGTATAATCATTTTCCTGACAGTATAACAAATAAAAAATAAAAACATGTAATTTTTACAATCCTGTATTCACTTTGAGAAGCCTTAACATTTCTAGTTTACAAAGCCTCATCATTCATGTCTCATCCATGTATACTACTCAAAGAACCCCATCACTTTTAAATGTATTTAAACCCACTTTTAAAGCTCTTCTGCCTTTCATAATTGCATTAGAAGTGGTTCAAAGAGACATAGCTATTCTTAGCTGAAGAATATGCTATCAGTTGCCTGATGAAACAGCAATTAATGATGGTTATGTTCAGTTCTTGATGGTAGAAAAGAGCCCTGGTCTCATTTACATCAATATTACCCAGGAAAAACTTCAGTAAAATAATAAAAATTAGCCTAATATAAATCATATGCCAGTTCAGTAAATAGGAACAAAGAGATGCTCGCTTTCAAACTAAGGATTAATGCCACACTGTTTAAATTAATTTCCTATCTAATAAAATGACTGATCCTAGCAGGCTGATTATCATATTTCTTGTTGATGAAGACCTAAATTTAGTCAACATCTTTAGTAAGGAAAATATGACAGCTTAAAAACTTATTGAAACTAGTATTTTGGCTGATACTTCAGCACAAAAAGCTCATAATCCACCCATCACCAAAACATTCAGAATGAGAAGATCTTCCAGAGACAGATCTTGTACCAAGAGCATCAGCACTTGAAGAAAGACAGAGAACTTGTGAAGCTCATATGGGAGCTGGCTTGGGCAGAGCCAGAGTAATTACAAAGAAAATTGACCATTGTTCAGAATCCCATTTAAAAATACAACAATACTTATAATGAAGTGCCCATTTTGTTTAGCTAGGACTGGCACACAGACCTAAGACTGCTTAAGAATTGGTTTTGTACACCAGGCAACAGATTTTTAAAAACAGCTAATTTAGGTAAGAAGGAACCACTGGAGGTTGTATGAATGCTAATTTGATACACTTGCTTTAAAAAAAGTAGTATCCTTTGGACAACATTCCAACTTTAATTAGCTGTGGAGCAGGATCAATTTTCTATGAATATTATAGGTTAAACATACCTACAAATATCTGTACATGCAGGTCAAATTGCTTTTTCACCTTCTTGTCTTGAAAATCGTTGTAGTGATTCGACCACCTTGCGTGACTTCTAAATATATCCCACTAATTTCTAATCTTCTGTATAATCTAATTCAATGTTCAAAGTAGAAACTGTTTTGATATTGCTTGTTACAGATGTTTTTGTTGCTAAACAAGATCTTCTGCCTCGATTGAGCTGTTGCACCACTTTTTCTACACCAAAGTCAGCCATGGTAGCTCTAGGGCTTAGGAAAGCAGGTGCAATAAACTTCAATACTGAAGAGTTCTATCCTTACACAAACCTTCCCACAGGCATTCATGGCCCCCTCATGCAGGCACATCCCTGAAAAATATGAAAAGAATTCACAGATAAAGAAGTTCACTTGATTTCCTCATTATGGAAAGAGTATAAATGCAAGGAAGACTTTTAGATAAATCGAATGAATGCCTGTCCTTTCTCTTCTTTACAGAAGAGTTTGGACTAAAAATTGCTATCTTTTCTTGAAGATTTGTGTGCACATTCTCCCTCAGTAAAGGATATTATATATCACAGTATGAGTGAATTGTACAAGTAGGTTACATTTAATGAGAAAAGGTACTTTTTTTTTTCAAATCTAAAGATACCAGAAACTAGAATGTCACCAAAAATAGTCTTTCTGATCCGGATGCCTGTCCTTACATTGGTTTTGGACAATGACACAAAAAGTAACACCCATTTTCCCTCCATCATTAGGAAAGCTTCACTAAAATAATCTTGATAGCACATGTTTAAAAGTTTCTGGTCTTCGATCAAAAAGTAAAATTGAAAGCATATGAAATAAAAATGCATTGATCTGCCCATTATTAAGCTGAGCAGAAACCTCAGAAAATATCTCTTTAAGATATGATGCTCTATTCAGTATTCACTCCTACTGTATTCTCAGCCTTAAGTATTAGAATTGCACCACTTACTTTCCCCACATCTGGTTGTGCTTTACAGACTGTACCATCATATCTCACTTCTTTTTGGGGTTTTTTTTAGTGCCAGACAAAGAAAACATTTTACAGAGCTGGATTTCTGAGAGGCATGACTTCTCAAACATGGCCAGGGATGAGAATATAAAATTCAGGAGCAAAGAGTGAGAAATTATTTTTACCAGTTTTTATTTTCTTTTCTCAATGCATGCCTAAACGATATCTACTTGTTCAGTTTTTCCTTTTATAATCTCCTTTAGCCTCTAATTATTCTGAAAACACAAATGAGGCTATCTCTCATTACTATTCCAGTTTTTCTATTTAAGTAGCACAGGGGGAAGAGATTCTGGCTGTCACTGACCACAGCTAATATCCAACACTCATTCCCCTCCTGCCTAGCAGTTGGCATTGACTCATCAGGTATCCAGTTCTACTGGATTCCCATATCTCTGGTACACAAGGTATCTAGGGCAGGAGGATGATCACTCAAGTGTTGTTACCTACATTCATGTCCACACTGCAAATCAGCAAATGCAAGTGAGATGGCTGTTTGACTGTGCCTGAAACAACAGTGAAGAGTAAATTCTGGGATGGAGTACAACTTAATTGATTATGTTCCTTAAAAGCAGGAATTGGGCTGTAATGTAAGCAGCTGTGTGGTTTTTTTGCAGGAGGGGGCTAAGCTGAGATCTCTTTTCCTAAAACAGGTGGTTGGGTGGAGCACAACCTGTGGAATACAGGAGAAGGAGTTTCTGTGCTGGCAGATATTCAGAAGTAAGGTAGACATTGCTCTGGATAACCTGCTCTAGCAGACACTGTTCAAGGAGAGGGGTTGGACTAGGCTATGTCTAGAGCTTTATGCCACCCTCATCTATTCTACAATCCTGTGAAGAGGTAGATTTCAGAGGGTGAAATTTAAGACCAATTGGAAATTTAAGACCAATTTGCACAGACAGACTGATGGCTGAGCAGTTGACAATTCATATAGGGACTATTAAAAAGAAAACTGAATTACAATTTGCTTGATTAGTTAAAGCAGTACTACAACAATTGATGTTAATATTCTTTGTAATGTATTAATAACAGAGAGAGCTTTAATAATAGTGCAGAATTGCCACAGTTAACGCCATCAGTATGGCAACACCACCAGCAGAGGGTATCCATAAGGATGGCTGAGCATCACACTTTTGGAGGTGCTCTCTCACTGATCCAGCCCAGAGTCCACATGTATAGCTTCTCTGCCTCAAGCACATAGCAGTTCCTCCTGTTCCCTCCCCTCCTGACAGACAAATCTAGTATTGAACGATCTTCTCTGGGGGGGTCTCTGGAAAACCATTCCCCAAACTGATCTCCACTGCTTATGCTTTTGTCAGTAAAATCTAGTCTAGGAAGCACACAAGTCTCCCAAGTGGACATTCTTCATCCATCTTGCCATGCAGTTTTCCATCACCAGTCCCTGACAGACCATAACTTTCTACTAATTATCTTCTACCAATCAACCAAAGGTGATATTTTTCCAATAAAAAGCTTAATTTTTAATACCAGTCACCTCAGTTAGTTTCTATTCTACATATCAATCAACTTAAAATTCAACACTGTATTTTCTCCTTATACCAATATAGGTATGACTTTGCACCCTTGCCTCTGGCTGAAAACAGGCATGAAGGGACAACCATGTGGGCTTAACTCAGATACCCAGATGGTAACAACTTGCATGGCACTGTTTTATCTGACTGGGAGGCAGAAATACAGGTTGCACAGCAGCCTCTGTTTTCTCTTTTCATGCTGCAAACACTAAGAATCAGGATGATGGACAAGGAAGATATGTTCCCTGAAATTCATCTCTTGCTTAAGATTAGGAGTGCAGTAATTTAGAAAAGCACTAGAAAGTTTCTAAGCCACTTTTCTTCATGGGTATCCAAAAATTAAAAAGCACACAAATGCAGCTCTTCTGGCTGTAAAATGCATTGAGAGTGAAAATATAAAAGCTCCCCATTCAGATTATTACTTATCAGGTTCTTGTGTTTGTGTCAGTGAAGAAATTTTGTCCTACAGCAGAGCAGCATAAAGCCCAACACTTAAAGGCAGTTCCAAAAGTTTAAGTGATTTATCTCATTCACAGTAAACCATCCGGCTGCATTCAGAATACCGTGAAGACACAAATTAAGCTGCACATCTCACTGCTCTTTGCAGTTCTGCTCACACATTGATCTCTGCTGGAGTTTCAGTGACATGACATTTCCCTGCAGGATCAATAACCATGCCTGCATAGGTGTCTGGGCTTCATGGTGTACAAGCAACTTGCAGAGCCATTCAGCTCCCTGGCACCACTCTACATAAATACATGGATTTGAATCAAAGGGAGCTGGTGGTGAGAATCAAATAGGAAACAACACAATGGCAGAAATAAAAGTTCTCAACGGAACTGAGCGGAGGAGCTGTCAACTGGAAATGTTCAGGGGTGGAACAATTAACTCTTTCCAGACATGAGTTTAAGAGAAAAGGGATTTTAACAGCTTAAAATAGTCCAGAATATTGGGGAATATTTCAGTAGGTGCAAAGGGCAGATTGAATAGACACATTCTAATAGATAAGAGGATAGAAACTGCAGCTGCCAGTCCTGTGACAACTGTATATTTGAAGTTTTGGCTTGGGAAAGCTGGGTTTAGCTCACTCTGACCACCTTATCAGATTCCAAGATAAATGAGGCTCATTTGGAACTGTCAGACTAATAGATAAAGAGAAGGATAAGGGGTCACAGTACCCTCAAGAATCAGTTTAAAATTGGAAGTACCACAGAAATTACATGCTTAGATGTAACTCTGCTGGGAACAACTAAACTTGGAACCTTTATTGGCTAGTGCTACTGCTCGCAGTTTAGCTATGGCTTTTCTGACTCTTCAGATCTAACTTAAATGTCCTGATTTTTTCCTAGACCCTTTCAAAGGTAACCAGCTAGGTTCTTCCCAAGTGAAGTCTGGATGTAACTCCAAACACTTCTAACTCCAGCAAACTCTCAGGCGGTACAGAATGAAACTAAACAATTTAGGTTGATCCACGCCAGAGTAGTGCAATGCTCCCCAGAGTGCCCAGACAACCTCTCAATACATGCTCTGGAACATAATTGCCACAAAACTACAAGTTTTGAGGCCATGAAAGAGGCATCACTACATTTAAGGCTCTTTGAGCTGAAAAATGCATTAATTCCTGATAATTATTACTTAGAGCCACACAACTGGAGCCACACTTTGGACTTGAAGCAGACTTGGATCAAGTAATATGCACTGCAAATACAACTAATTCAGTCTTCAAAAACCTGTGCTGTACAGAGGGTTTAGAAGTTACTCTGCATTCCCTGTCTTAGAGGCTGTGAAACATCCTCTGGAGAAGCTTCCTAACAGCAGGTTTGTAACTTTTACAGAATTACTGTGAAAGTCCCTTTGAAATTGAGAGTAGCAAAAGACATTCAAAGATCCCTACCAAACCTCTCCTATGGCTACATTTTGGTTTAGACCCTTCTTGTTCACAAATAGCAACTTTAAGAAAAAACAGTATATATTAGAGAATACATTAAATACCCAGTATGAAAAGAAACATGTCAGATTATTTCTGTACCATCAGAAGTCCCTATTTAAATGGACATCAGGAAGAAGGAACAAGAAAAGGAGCACGGTTTATGCATGCAGAAGAGAAATAGGGTGAACACTGACCATAGGCTTCTTGCTGAGCCTCCTGTCTGACTTTCAGCACCTCCACACAGAAGGGACTGAAGACACATGCTCCTACTAAAACAAGGAAGAAATTATGTCCAAGCAGTGAGAGAGGTCTTTGTTGGGCTGCCTTCTGTGAAGGGAAAGAGCTGAAGAGAGAAGCCCTGGTTAGAAAGACTTTCTGTCTCTGCACACAAGAGCCCCTGCACTTTGTACTTTGACCTTTGCCAGACTCTTCTCCAAGGTACCCAGCAATAGTATGAGAAGCAATGGGCATTGCCTAAAACACAGAAAGTTCCATTCAAACATTATAAGAACCCAATTTCATGTGAAGGTATTCAAACACTGGAATTAATTACCCAGAGAAACTGTGGAGTTCCTACCCTGCTCCAGCTGACCCAGCTTTGAGCAGAGGTGTTAAACCAGATGATGTCCAGAGGTCACCTATTCCAGCTGAGATTCTATGGTTCATTATCTCAGAGGTCACAAGTGAAAGAACTACTTGGTAAACTGTTAAGCAATGAGCAGAAATTAAAACAAGGGCTTTCAGCAGAAGGGTAAAATCCATTTCATTACCCCAAGTTTATAAATCTGAAGGGGAAGTTTTTTAGAAATAGAGGTCTCACAAAATGGTAAATAAATATATCTCTCTGAGTCTGAATAAAATGAAAAACACAAT